AAATTTTACCCCGGGTGCCTAGGGACTGTGAGCATAGTGTTATCAGGACACCTTCTGTTTTTCATTGTTACAGCTATCAGTAAGAGTGTTAGAAACTAGCAACTATTCTTGGCTGTTCTGTTACCCAGCCCTAAACCCTGTTAATTGATGCATTCTTCACATACAGCAGGTATGTTCCATGTAAATTATTCCTACCACAAGCATTTACTTGGTGCCTGTCACTATGGTATTAAGGCTTGAGAGATTCAAGTTCTTGGTGAAAGAGACTAAACATGCTCCCCAGCTGCTTGCAGCTTTGTGAGTGAGCTGGGAATCCAGGATTTCATTAAGTAGGTAGGGCTGGGAAAGAAGATTGCCACAGAGAGCAAATTCCAGCTGAGCAGACCCACTCTTAAGAAAGCTCTGCCCTCAGCAGTAGAATTACAATACTCAGTGAGAGATAGGAATGGGCAGACTTGGGTTTGTCTCATTTTGAACTCACTCAACTAACATGAGTTCAAAAGCTCAACTCAAATATTGGCAAGTATGAGCTTTGTTTAGGAGAGATTGTGGGAGGGAAGTGAGGAAAGGAGAGAGAGAAAAATCTCTCATTAAAAATATGCACAGTATACACCTACACACCAGGCAATTAACACAGCTATGTTAAAAAAAAGCATTAGAGTTGCAAAGTGAAGAAAGTCAAGAAATGACAACGATTATTCAAAAAATCTTAAATTTAATTCTTCCAAGGCAGCCAAGTGTGTTTTCAGGCACCACATCATAAACTACCCAACTTGATATCCTCCCTTATGTGATTCTAAATTGGATTGCTTAAAACTCTCTCATGTTTGTGTTGACCACTCTTTAACTCCAATATCTAATGAACATTTTGGAGAAGGGTCATCTTTGTGGATTTGACAAGTGAGATCTGAAAGTCAAATAATACGTATTTTGGAGACAATCTCTAGCAACCTCAGAAAGAGGGAAAACCTGCATCTGTCCATCTCTTTCAGGCTCTCTTTATAAGTCATAAAAAAACCCCAAAGGGGCACAAATCCCAATAAACAAGAGAACACCTCAGCATGTCTTCCTTAAAACTCCAGGAAAGGAGAATCTGGCTTTATAGGAACTCATTCTAATTCAGTAGAATTTTCTCTGCAGGGTAGAAGGTCCCTGAAGATCTCCAGGAATGTAGCCCATGCTTCACTTTAACTAGAATATATATTTTAACTGAATTGCTTTTGGAAAAACTTTTGAATTCAAAAACTCCCCCCAGCCACTCCCAAAATTGTTCACAAGACTTGGGGGGGAGGAGGGAGAACTCAAACACCAAAAGTTTGCCCAGCCCAGGTAACAGAATTAAAGTGTAGGGAGGATGGGTTAGGTACCATAAGATAAGCAAAAACTTCTATAGATCAATTAAGACACCACAATATTTATTTTTTTAATTTACACAAACTGCACAAACTTAACATTTAATTATTTTTACAAAGATTTCCCTTTTTGAAAATACCCAGATTAAAGTGTCAAAGCCCAGTTTAAAAAAAAAATTCTTAAGAGAAATATTGTACATAACGGAGGTTTCACAGAGCGGGGTCAGCTATAGTGAACCTTATGCTTCTAAAATCCTGCTTGTAAGATATGCCCAAGTTAATGGAGAATACTCTCACAGTAGCAGGTTGGCTCTAGCAAGTCCTTCTGCTTCAATATTAAACAAATACCATCTTGGCACAGAAGAGAGACATATATTCAAAAAGAAAGGCAGTTTTCAATTGGATCTGAATTTGCACATAAAGACTAGCTCCTCAGCTGTAGCTATAGCTCCAATTATTTCAATAGTGGCACACTGATTGGTGCACCTGGGGATCTGGCCCTGTGACCACACAGAGCCTTTCAACTGAAAGTACATCAGTTCAAAAGTCTTAAATATCAAAATGTTCATTCAGATTCTGGCCAGTAAGTGCTATGCTCTGACTGCTTTGGACAAGAGGAATAGAGCAAAGAGGCATCTTTGCTCCTGAACAGTTGTCTGACCACCCAAATCTCAGACTCCCTTGGTCTCAGCAATCCTACTTGGGTCTTTAGGACATCTCAGTTGGATGATTGCAGGTTATGGTTCCCAGGCCTTCACAGGCTTTATTCTTTAAGAGCCAGATTCTACAAGAGGTTCAGCAACTCTGATGTAGCAGTAAGGCCTTGGCTACACTTGCAGCTGTACAGCGCTGTGAGGTAAACCTGTCTTCGTACAGCTGAGTAGGGAAAAGCACTGCAGTCTGTCCACACTGACAGCTGCCAGCGCAGTGGTGTGGCCACACTTGCAACATTTGCAGCTGTGTTGGGAGTGGTGCATTATGGGTAGCCATCCCAGCATTCATGTGGCTGCAATGTGCTTTTCAAAACGGGGGTGTGGATTGCGACAGGGAGTGTGAGGGGGAGAGTGAATGCTTTTTGGAGCATGTCAGCTCTCTATTTTGAAAGTTCCAAACTCCCGGCCCCCTGCTCATTCATTTACTCACTCAAAGCCAGCTGCAAACTGTTTGCTTTTCTCTGTGGTACGAGCTTTGAAACCGGCACTTCCGCATTCCTGCAGCCAGTCACAACAATGGAGAGGATTGGTCACTTGACAAGGTGATTAGTACAGCGCTGCAAGCATTTACATTCACACCCGTGAGTTGTAGCCACTCCGCTGCAGTTGTTATTCCTCTCGGAGATGTGGAGTACCTGCAGCGGTGTACCCAGGGAGATACAGCGCTGTAAGTGCCCTGCCAGTGTGGACGGGGAGTGAGTTACAGCGCTGGGGGAGGCTTTACAGCACTGTAACTTGCAAGTGTCGCCAAGGCCTGAGCACCTTTAACTCCCATGGAGATCAAGAGGAGTTGAGGGTGCCCTGTACTTCACGGGACCAGGACATAGGTGAAAATATAGCTGGAATTCTGCAGTTTGTAGTGCCAGCTTGCTCAAGCTAATGACTGGCCTCTGAACTTTCCATTGTCCTCTGAACTGATCACAGGAAAGGTTCCTGCACAAAGGCAGCAGGTTTGCATTTTCTGAAGTGGACTAAAGTCATCGGTAGTCTGAAATGGGAAGATTCATATACATCTTTGGATGTATTCTCTTAGCCTACCAAGGGTGCGTGGGAATTTGTGGTGGTCTCTCCAGTGAGATTTCTCACCTTTAGAATTTGTGTTATTGATATGGCTATGTATTGCCCTGCCCTTTGCTAACTTAAAACAACGTGGACTCCAGAGTCCCCTATAGTCTTTGAAGGTATGCTGCGGATTTCTGGAGTTTGAGAACTACAGTGCTTGGGGGGGGGGAGAAGGGGGGAGCCTTTTTCATTGTGTCACAAGGACGCTGACTCCCTGCCTGCAGTGATCAAAAAGTCGCTGGTTGTTAATATCTAGATACTTATGGGAGGCTTAGATCCGATAGAAATGAGTGCTGTACACAACTAGACACAGAGAAAGCTTTCCAGACCAGGGACCGTGTCTTTATTTTCAAGAGAAATTAAATAGCAATACAAATATCTCTGGTTACTTCTAAAAGGTACAATCAAATGTACATTGTATTTAATTAGTGTTAGTCAAGCACTTTGAATAGGTTATGTGCTAAGTATTGGAAAACTACTAACTTGAGGAAAAAACAGATGTTATGGGCCAGTCTTTCCAAACTAAGCATGTAAACATATTGGCACTGCCTAACTTATGTATAGAAATGCCAGAGGTGTGCACAGTGATCAGATCTGTGCAAACATGGCCAGTTATGTGTCTGAGTAGTCCATCACTGTTACCCAATTTATCCATAACTTAGGTACATTGACATATATAAGTTTGCTTAATCTTGAAATTGTGACTCTCAAACGCATAGAAAACAGATCTGAATAATGCAGAAGATTCGATATTTTAATAAACACCCTAGTCCCAGCAGCTTCTCGTCAGTATCTTGTCTTGCATTTTAGAATGCAATATAATTGAATGACACTGTTACTGTATTAGTTTCCATAATATATTTTAAAGGATGCATTTTAAATTTAAAATACACTGTTTTAAAATAGAGACCTACGAAGTTCCAGCTTTCTTTTTCTTGCTCCAGAAAGAGATCCATTCTGGTGCCTCCTAGCTCTGGAACAGAGTTGCACATGCACCTGGTTTTCTCTAAGGGCTTGTCTACACTTACTGGAGGATAGACGCTGTGGCAATCAATGCATCGGTGGTCCACCAGTCGCTCTCCCGTCGACTCCTGTACTCCACCTGATCGATAAGGGTAAGGGGAGTCGACGGGAGAGCATCTCTCGCTGATATCGCGTAGCATGGACCCTGCAGTAAGTAGATCTAAGCTATGTTGATTTGAATTACGCTATTCACGTAACTCAAATTGCATAGCTTAGATTGACTTTTCCCTTTAGCCGAGACTAGGCCTAACAGGTCTCTTAGCTGCTTAGCCTAGTACACAACCTGATTCTCCATTCATACCTACATAGACCAAAAGTAACTCCAGTGAAGTGAATGAAGTTACAATAGTTCTGTACTAGTGTAAGAAAGAGGAGAATCCAGGCAGTCTTATTTGTAATTTCAGAATCCACTCCATTCCATTAACAGGGCTCAACCCAGCAAGATGTTGAGCACTCTGGCCTTTATTCAGTAAAAAGAAGAACAGGAGTACTTGTGGCACCTTAGAGACTAACACATTTATTAG